TCAGCTGCCCCCTCTGCTCCCGCCTCTGCCCACCAAATGCTTCCCTTAGACCAGTGGTCTCCACAGGAACAGCTTTGCCTCTCAGGGGAAGTGCAGCAACATCAGAAAACCTGATTGATGGTTGTAGCTGGAGAGAGTCCTGGGTGCTCTTACAACCTACAGGACAGCCCCCTTCCCCAGGAAAGAACGGGGAGGCCCCAGAAAGAGCAGTGCCCAGGTTGAGAGAGCCTGCCCTGCGGATAGGGGCAGCTGATGAAGAATTCTTGGGGCTATTGAGGATTATCATGGGGCTCCTGAGTTATGCCTGATGGAACTTTCTGGCACTACCTTTGGCTGTGGGGGTGCAGAGTGGTACTGTCAAACTCTGGGACCGAGCCCCTGGGCATGCCCTCCATTTTCTTCTCTACAGCTACTCTTCCATCTTCACCTTTTGAATGTGGTGCTCCCAGCCGGCCAGCTGCGGGAGCCCCAGATCTGGGTCGTCACCTCTTCTCCCTACCCGCCCTCCACATCTCCCATCTCTGCTGCTGCCATTGACCCCAGGTGTCTATTCTGGTCACCTGCCACAATGTCCAGACAGGCTCTTGATGTTCCCCTGCCTTCTGGAGTCTCCCTTCTCCCCACGCAGCTGGATCCCTCTCCTCCCCCGCCCCAGCCCTCCAGTAGCAGTGGCCCCTTGTGAAATAAGGCAGGTGCCTGACCTTGGCTTCAGAGCCTCTGCAGCTGGCCCCTCCCTCTTTTGGCTTCAACAGACCTCAGCCATCCCCAGCCTCCCAGGAACACCTCTGCTCTGCTCTCACCAGAACACAAATCAGCTACACCATCAGGACGTCAATGCCGTCCTCAGCCATGACCCAGGCACTGACGCACAGCAGGTGCTCCGTGAGCATGTGTTGAACCAGTGGATGAATGAATGAATGCATGGACGCCAGCCTGGCAGCTGGGTGCCTTGTGTCCCACGGAGGTGTTGCAGAAGAGTGTGAGAAGAAAGCACTCCCCCAGACTTCTCATGTGGAGAGGCACCATCCTGCACCAGCCCTTGGAGGGACCCACATGGAACGAGGCTTGACCTGAAAGCTAGGGGTGCAGCTCTCTGGGCCTTGTGCGGCAGGAAGTCAGAGGTGGGAGGAATGTTCCAGATACACCAAACTCCATTTTCAGATGAGGAGACTGAGCCCACCAGGCTCTCCCTGACACTTCACCACTCAGGTTTGTCTCTTGCCCCCCTCACCTGTGACACTCGGGTCTAGCCGCCTGAGGCACCTCCCTGTAGTTACGTGACTATGCTCTACAAGTCCTCAGTGTCGGAAATGTCTGGGGAGACTGACACAGAAGGTTTATTTTCAAGCCTTGCTGGTTTTCCTATTGAGCCTTTCTGAAGCCCTCTTCTCCAGAGCCAGCTCTGAGATAGAACCATTAAGCCAGTCCTCAGTCTGGGTTCCACCAAGACCCCCAGCTCCTCACTAAATCAGCTAACTCCAGTGAAAAAGAGTTGGTATTCCCTCATAAGAAGAAAGAAGTAAAGAACAGAGGAGGAGAAAGAGAGCAAGAATTAACAGAAGACAGATGTGACAAGGGACCTCCAGGGTCCAGTTATGTAGCAGGGACATTCCAAAATCGTATTTGAGGGTGAATAAATGTTGGCTGATGTCGCCTTTGATTGAAAGAAGATCCAATCCCCTTTCCCATGTCCCTGGCCTTGGCTGAATGTCAGCAAAGATAGAAAGAATGAGGTGAGGGTCTCAGGGAGAGTGTGATAGAATGACTGAATATGGTGGGGACAGGCTAGTTCAGAACACAGTAGAAAGAGAGAGAGAGGGAGGGAGACAGACAGAGACACCAAAAGACTGAGAGAGGACAGAGAGGGGGGGGGGGGGGGGGTGAGAAGGAAGGGAAGGGAAGATTGAATTATGCAACTTGTGTATCAGTTGGTCCTTGTTGCTTCCAAACGCCTCTTGCTGGGCTCAGAGCTGGGCTCCATTGGGTAGTCAAGTACTTAGTTCTATTTTTAATGGCAACCCAGAAGCTGTTTGTGAAAGGGCAGGATGACATGATAGGAAGAGCTTTGTAGTGAGACAGAGGCTCAAATCTGGCCTGGCTGCCTCTGGACAAGTCCTGGAACCTCCCTGGGCCTTGTTCCCTGGTCTGCAGGTGGGGGTAAAGACAGCAACCCGTTTTCTCTGGGCTGTTGTGCACGTGTTTGGTGGGACAACACACGAGCTCTGCCCACTGAGTATTCTCAGTGACGTGGGTCCATCAGAAAGGCACCCTGGGAGGAAATGCTGCTTTGGGGGCAGAGTGAGGCTGGGACAAGGGCAGCTCTGGTGACGCTAGGCATAGCAATTACCCTTGCCAGATTGCGTGGACACCTTGAGCACACAGAGGGCTGGGCTCTCCTAATCCAGCAACACCGTTTAGGAGAAACAACCAGGAAACTGAACTGGCTGTTCTGAGAGTTGCCAGCAAACCCATCAGAGTTCCGCGGCTGCACCCAGAGCTTCATTAGCTGCTTGCTGCAGTATTTCTCCAGTTTCAGCTCAGAGGCTTGATCCCCCTCCACCTTTTTGGTTTGGATGTAATGCTTTGGGGGTACTCTGCTACAGAACAGGTGGAATTAATGCTTTTCTCACACAAAAACTAATATGGAGGTACCTCCCTCTAAGCCCCCAGCAAGTGGCCTGGGGTTAATGTGTTGTCCATGTTTCAGCCCTGGCCACTTGCTGGCAGGCATCATAGGAGGTGTCCATGGCTCTGGGAGCTGTCAGCTTCCACGATGTGTTTTCATGAGATAAGCTGGCAGTTCCCACCCACTTACGGGACTGTCATGATGATTCGAGCCACATCAAGGAGTCCTGAACGGGCTCTCCCAGCCCTGGGTCCCAGGAGGATGTTCTGGCCCTCGGCTTTATAGCCTGATTGGCCCTCAGAGCCCTGAGCTTTGGGGAATGACAGAGGCAGCCCAGTTCTTCCCATGAAGTCCCCCAGATGGCTCTCTCTGCCAGTGGAGCCAGCTGTCCAGATCAGCTCAGGGCTGCCTTGATGAACAGCGAGTGCAAACGGCTCGAGGCAGCTGGCAAGATGCTAAGTGCAGCATCAATCCTAATTAGGATGAGGAATTAATAAAGGAGGCATTGGAGTCCCTGTGCAGGCCAGGCGGGCCAGGGTGGAAGAGTTAGTTCCGATTTCCGCTGGGAAACTAGAAGGCCCTAAGTCCATCCATTTCTTGGGAGGGGGGTTACAGGCCACATGACTTACTGTACCATGCAGATTGCACCCAGTGGAGCCTACCAGATAGAACACGGAGGCACTGCAGCCCCTGCTCTCTAACTCAGGTGCTGTGGCAGGTAGTGACGTGGGTACATTCTCCAGATGAGAGGAGTAGGTGTTCGTGATCTGAACAACTGCACACCCAAAATGATGTTTTTTGAAAAAAAAAAAAAAAGCGGAGGGTGTAATCGTGGGCCCACCGGTTCCTTTGTGTGGCTGTTTCCGAACTGCTAACCGCACATTTCTGCTACCTGAAGCCTCCACGTAGCCCTGGCATTAAGCTTCAAACTGCAATAAGCAGAGAAGCCCCGTTTTTAGATGTGGGGGGCAGAGGTGGGCAGGATTCCAGATGAGAACAGGCATGGTCTGGAGGGGACAAAAGGGGCAAGTTCCACTTCTCCAGGCAGTGACAGCTTTACAGAGCCTCCTTTCAGATGACTCCAAATTGCAGCCGGGAAAATGCTATCTGCCAACCTCGGCCAGATCCCCACACTGAACTAGTGGCAGGGGTTGTAGCTGCAGGAAGGATGGTGAAGAGGATGGCAGAACTTCCACGAAACCCGAGGGGAGGACTGAACACACGGGATAAGGTGACAAAAAAAGAAACTATTCAATTTTTCTTTGAAAAACCAAAGCAATGCTCCACCAACTCCCCCATCCCATCTCCAATCTGAGAGCCAAGCCGAAGTGGCCGACCTGTCCACAACCTGGCTGGACCAGACAGCCCCTCCACGGCCACCTGTTAGTTCAAGTTCCGCAATTGGGTTTAAGGATGCCCCGTAGGCGCTGAAGCAGAGCCCTCCAGCATCCGAGGTATCCAGTTGGCCCCTCCCTGGAGGCAACTGTCCACACAGTTCCGGGAGGACCTAATCCCGGACCCCGGATGCGTTCCAACCTTTCCACACCTATTATTCCACTGCGTGGAGCATTTGGGGGTCGTAGCACCCCGCCTCAACCAGGCGACCACGCCCCTCCCAGGTCCACGGATGGCCCTGCGCACGCCAGTGTCCGTCCTACGGAGGTCTCCCGCAGTCTCTCTAACGAGGGGCCGCCACCAGGGCTCGCTGCCTCAGTTGAGGGAGACTCGGTGTCGGCTCGCCCCACCTCCCACCGCGCAGAGAGGGACGAGCAGGTGGCCTCGTGTAAGAGGAAGCGGGCGTCAGCCAGGGTCAATCCGGCTCCCCAAGACCCGCTTAGGGCCCAGCCCCCACCCCACCCCTCCGCGGGGGCCAAGAGCGAACGCCGGGCGGCCCCAGCGCTCCCCGCCCCCGGCCGGCCCCGCCCCAGGATGGCCAGTTCCCATAGCAATCGCACAGACACCGGTTGCCAAGCAACCTATCCCCCTCCTCCTGCGTCCGCTCCCCCCAACCCCAGCCTCCTCCCGCCCCCACGCCATCCTCCACCTCCCCCGGGGGCGCCGGCGCTGCCCCTGGGGATCGCTCGGGTCTTGGGCTGCGCGCGCGCGCGCGTGAGTTTCGGTGTGTTTCATTGTGTCTGTGTGCGAGGGGGTGTGCGCGTGCGAGTGGAGAGTTTGTGGGATCGGTGTGTTGGGGAGGTCCCCAACCGGGAAGGACCTGAGCTGGTACACAGCTGGCCGCGAGGGGACCCACCCACCCGCTCTGGTTCCTTTGTGTCTCGCGCGGAGCAAGCAAGCGCCGCGCCCACCCTCTCCCTCGGCCCGTGCCCCAGGCAGTGTGTGTGTGTGTGTGCGCACTGGGGGGAGGGGTCCTTACCTTCGATGCAACACACCCGCCACAGTCCCGAGTGGGTGAGGTCGCCGCGGGCGCGGCGGGGCGGGGGCCCGTCGTCCATGGTCAGGTTGGTGCCGTTGCAGATGTGCGCGCTGGAGTAGAGCCAGTAGTCGGTGCCGATGGCGATGGCCATGAGTGAGAAGGCGGCGAAGGCTCCGGCCGTGGTCAGCAGCATCTGCAGCCCGCGGTCGCATCGCACCATGGTGGGCGCCTCATAGTCCGCCGCCCGCCGGCCCGGCCCGCCGCGCCCGCCCGCCCTCCTCCCTCCGCGCGCCGCTCCGGGGGCGCCCGGGCTTGGGGGCCGAGGGCCGGGGGGCGGCGCCGCGCTGCACGCTCCGACCCCGCGCCCCGGGCGTGCCTGCGCTCCGGCCGCGCGGGGCTCAAACTCCGAGGCGCCGCGGCGAGTGCGGGCTGCGCGGGCCGCCGGGCGGGCTGGCGGCAGCGGCGGACGGGGGCTCCTCCCTCTCGGCCCGCCCTCCCCGCTCGGCCCGCGCCTCCGCCCCGCGCTCTCCGCGCCTCCGCCCGCCGCCGCTCTCCCGGCCCGCGCCTCGCGCCCTTCTGCGCCGCCCCTCGCGTCCCGGCCCCGCCCGGTTTGGCGCTCTTGTGCGCTCGGTTTCCCCCAGCCCGGCTTTTCCCTCCCCTCCGCCAGTCCCGGTGCCCCTCTGCCTTCCCCGCCCTCGCGCGCTCTCTTCCTCTCCCAGGGTTCATTCACATTGTTAGAGCGCAGGAAGCCAAGGCAAGGGTTCCCCAGGAGCAGGGAAGGGAAGCCGCGTCTCCAGCCACTGCTTTTGCCCAACCCAGGACACCCTGCCCCGCCTTAGGGACTCTGTAATATGTGGAGTCTCCTCACCTCTTCTTTTTCTCTTGTCTTCTCTTCTTTGTTGTCACTCCTTTCCCCATGTGCATGTTTGTGCTTCTACCTGTCGATGAACGCATAAGAATGAGTGGGAGTTAGAGTGTTCATGTCACATTTCCAGAAGCCCCAGATGTGCTCACAGCTGGGAGACACTTTCATAGCCAGGCTCTAGCCGCCCTCCTTCCCAACCGAGGTGGCTTCTACTCTTGCCAGTTCCTCCAGATCCCCTGCCAGGGGATAAGAGGCCCTGGACTCTTTGGGTGGTTGAGGATGGGTCCTCCTCTATGGTCACATTTCTTTTGGCTTATTATTGGCTAAAGCTGGGAGTTGTATTAGATTCAAGTATTCCAGACCCCAGCTGTATTCCAGTCCCCAACTCTTTCTTAATACCTTTTTTCCTGCCTTTTGCTCTACTCGAGCTTAACTGGCGTTCCCTCACCTCTCCTTTATGAGCAGCCTTATGCCAAGCCCTGCTGGTTTCACTTAATTGCCTTTGCTGCTGGCCTGGTCCCAATCTGGACACTCTCCCTTCTCTCCAGAGCCAGTTCATGCTCCTCCTCCAGCGCCCTGCTCCAAACTCTTCCCTCCAGGAGGCCCCAGAGATGAACAACAGGGTGTCTAGTGTTTCTTCACACACACCTGCCTATGCTCCTGTCTGATGCTGCTCTGGACCCCAGGAAATTGACATTGGGGAGCTGATATTCTTGCAAAATGAATCCCAAATTTCACTTCATTTATGGTATCTTTCTGGCCATGCCCCAGAGAAGATTAATTACCCCATGCTGGAAGCACTGTTCTCGACTCCCACAAGATTGTGTCTTTCCCATGTCTGGCATATATGGTGATTGTTAACAAATGTTTGCTGAGAGGTAATTTTCGCCTGTCGGAGGGAGGGGCATATAAATAAAAGGGAAAAAAACATTACAAAATAATGTAGTCCCAGGACTGGAGTGGTTGCATTAGTTAGCATTTGTTAGCCTCTTCTCCTGCTGTTGAGGTGCCTGTTCTGCCTTCCAAATTTTCAAAGGATCAGGGTCACCCCCTCTATTTTGCTTTTTATTTTATTGCCACCTGGTCTGGGGTTCTGGATGCAAGTGACCAATGTGTGTCTAAATGGATCGGAAGGTAGGAGATAGCTGCGTCTGTCCCTAATATTTTCAAAGATGAAGTCAAGGTTCTATGTTCTCAGAAACTCTGGGAAAGGTGAATCTTGAGCTTTTTGTTTCCTTTTGGAAGCAAATCCTTGTTTCCAAGTAAATCTTAAACAGAAGCCCAACATAATTAGTCCTGTGCTCCACCACTAGCTCTGTAGGTCAGAGCTGGCACTGCTCTGAGTGAATGAGGTGCTCAGAGTCCCTGTGTCTGTCCACCCACACCTGCACCCCCCCACACACATGTACCTAGGGTTCCATGAAACATGGTGAGAAAACTGACTCCCTGAGTCAGCTGCGGGTTATATGGGGACATCCTCTCCCGCCTGTCCTGCTTGCAGCCTTTCTTAGGGACTTTGACAGAAACAAATAGAACTGTCATGAATGTATCTGCTCTGCATGGGGAAGAATTGCTTCACCCAAACTTCTGTAAGTAGAGCAGGTGACACCTGGGTTGTGGTACTCTCTGCCAAGCAAGTGATTGTCAATCAGTGCAACAGGAGATGGGACAGAACTCTTCTTCAGAACCATATTCGGCCACCTCTAATCCTCCACTGGCAGAGGAGGGTGTGGAGAGCACTGGACCAGGAGTCAGGATTATCAACATGTCAGGCTGGCTCCAGACTACCTGGTAGGGTGATCTGGACACGCCAAGCCCACCTGGGGGAGAGACTGCTCTGGTCCATCTTTGCATTTCTTTTGGTGTCACATTGCACCCTTTTAGCAGCGGTCAATGCTGCCTTTTGTTCCTTTTTTTTGGAGACAGAGCCTAATGCTGTCTGGGATGTATATTACAGCCTCTGTTAATTCTCACTATCATGCGGCTCACGACACCTGGGGAATCTGAGGTGTAGCAATGTTGAGTAACTTGCTGAAGTTCTCACACCTGGGAACTAGTGGGTGGCTCAGGTCTGAGTGACTTCAAAGCCAAGATTTTCAAGGATATTGAACAATCTCCTTGCCATTTAAAAATACTACTTGGCCATGTTTTTATTACCTGTTAATGACAGGAGACTCTTTGGAGGGGAGTTGGCCATTTACCTTTCTGTTGGTGGACACCTGACTGGCAGCCATATTCGGTCCTGAAGTTGTGAGGGTGTACACTGTGGAGTCAAATAAGGACTTGACCGCCCGTGAAGGGAGCTGGAGCAAACCCAAGACTGTCTGAGACCATTCATCATGCCTGAGTGAGCTCAATTTAAATCTGGAAATTTCTGCTCAGCCGGATTAGAGAACTCTAAATGGCAGAATTTCTCTGCTGCCTGAGGACCCCGGAGCTTCCAGCATCCCATGGACAACTTCCAGATCAGCGAGAGGGACGTTTCCTCCCCTTTCTTAGGAGAAGGCTCTGGATTGGTTTTGTTCCAGAGAGACTGGACACGGCATCTTCCCCCAGGGAGCCATCCTGTATATATCGTAGTGCTGGGGAGGGAATGCGTACTCACACACAACATTCCCTCTCTGGACAGCTGAGAAGCTGAGGCGCCTGACAGTCATTTGGACCTGTCCTTCCAAAGCACCTTTTTCAACACAAGGTGGTTTTGTCCCCCCTTACTGGATCGTTCATGCAATTATCTCAATGCTTTGCTTTAACTAGGCTGTGAAGACAGAGCCGTAATGAGCTCAGAACCTTCAGCAATTCCAAGTTCAGGGTGAAGCAGGCGAGCGGGCAGCGGCTTAGGAAGAGGAATGCAGTATTAGGCTGCTCACGCTGCATAACGTGCACGTCAAAACCTCCCGAGCTGGCTGCATCTGCAGTCGGGGAGCAGGGAGCGGCCGTCCACCAGCCAAGGGGATGCAGCCTCTGTGTACTGTAGCTCTGAAAGCCTTTATTTCCCCCCCTTTGTCCTCCAGAAATGACCTTTGTGTGGCAACTTTTTATAATATCTCATTTCTATGCCCAAAGCAGATGGTTCCTGTGATTTCAGGAGGCTTAGCTGGGGGGGATTTGAGGAGCCTGGGAGATATCTGGAGTGAATAGAAAGAGTGATTTCGGGCTTCTATAGCCTAGGGTTGGGGATGAGTCTCGGAAGGTTCTGTGGCTCGGCTCAGGGGGGAGGCTTATCTGCAACCCATCCAGGCTGCTCAGAATCCAAGAAGAATGCCTTGCGATCCTGGTGCTGAAAGCCTTTCCTTCCATCAGATTATGCACATTGCAAGAATGACTTTTTATTTTCCCCCCTTCATGATTTCAGTAGATTCCTTTGAGGGAGAGCACAGATCAGAAAATGCTCCTTGGCTTTCTGTGTTCAGGTTTAATTCCATTTCATTTGCTTATCACCGATAGCCCTTTTGAGCTGGATACACAGTGTTCTTGCTCAGCTCTGCCACAAGAAAAGGGTGGCACACCCCTAGAAGTACCGGGAGCAGCCCCTGGAAATACCGACAGAGGAGAAGCAGCATTTAGTGAGTGTCCCCTGCCTGATGATCACTTTGTGGCCTCATTTCAGTTCATCAAGATAGCTTTCCTAGAAAGGAAAAGGACACCTTTACCCACATTTTGTAAATGGTGAATTTGCAGCTAAACAGAATTTGAACCCAGCTCTGCCTGGATTACAGCCAGGTTCTGTCAGCTACTACGCTGTGCCCTGCTCCCCGCTCCTCGGAGGTTGCCATGGCCCCTCTGCCTGCTCTGCTTCCTTCCCAACTCCTCCACCTCGAGTTTATCCAGATGAAATCAAGTTCAGATGACTATCAAAGTCACATGGGGGTGGAGAGGTTAGGGAAAGCTGCATCTTAGGAGCGCGGCTGCTCGTCTATTTCCTGAGCAGGTAGGAGTGAGCTGATGGCAAGGGGCTAGAAGCCACTGGCTAGGAACTTGCCCTTCTCCCCTCCTCCCTTGTCTTCTACCCCCAACTCCTGCCCTGGTGCCCAGCCCCTAACCCAGGTGCTGCCTGGCCCCTCTGTGTCAGCTGTGGCCTCTGGCTGCTGCAGTCTCCTGGGCATTTTCTGTTTACTGTCCATCAGAGGAAAGCCTGGCCCCCTGGTGTCAGTGTTAAATACCAAACAAAACAGCAGACGGATGGAGGTGGAGTCCATCCGTCTTATTCAAGACCTGTGTGTTTTCAAACCACCTCTCTTGAGGGGCTGTGCTCGGTGGCTGTTCTGGGCAGCCTCCCAGCTAGAAGTTGCTCGGGAACCAGCCCTGTTGATGAGCTTATTGATATTAACAGCCGGGCTTGACCGGAGCTCCTAGCCCAGCACGCTTGAGAGTTAGCTGGTTATTCTGAGAACATTCTTTTCAAAAACGCTCTACAGGACAAACAGGCCGAGAGGCTTCTTTGTCCTCAGCCAGCCTGTGAAACTGAGCCGACTCTCAAAGGGTTGAGGACTCCAAGGAAGAAATGGTCAGCACTAGGAGGCTGAAGCCTTTGAAAGCGGGGCTGGGGAAGATGGTCGGTGACAGCACATTCTTGA